TTGCTGTTGTTGCTGTTGTTGCTGCTGTTGTTGTGGTAGTTGTGGTTGTTGTTGTTGGTGGTGCTGTTCTTGTTGTTGTCATTGCTGTTGTCATTGGTTTTGCCATTGGTACATATTCCCTACCTAGGCTCTGCCTAGAAGGGTTCTTACCCTGTATCTTAAAGGGGCTGGGCAGTGTTGCCCGCCCCGGGCGGTTCCCCCAGGATCCGCCCCGCGGTTCCCCCAGTTACGTCCCCTTCGCTTAGCGTTGCTTATCTCATATTAGCTTAGCTTATGTCATCTTAGCTTAGCTTAGCTTCATTTTAGCTCAGGTTTATCTCAGTTTAGCTTACCTTCATCTTGGGTTCGCTGAGCTTTAGCATACCAGAACACAGCATAACATAGCGTAGCATAGCATAGCGCAGCACAGCATATCATAGCATAGCCCAGCATAGCATAGCACAGCATGGGTGTAATTCCTTACCTAGGCTCTGCCTAGAGGGCTAGCTTAGCTTAGCTTAGCTTAGTTTAGCATAGCGCAGCGCTGCATTAGCATAGCATAACATAATATAGCCAAGCATAGCATAACATAGCATATCATATCATAGTGCATCATCTCATATTATAGCATAGCATAGCATGGCACATCATAGCGCAGCTTAGCATAGCATAGCATGGCACAGCATAGCACAGCGCAGCATGACATAGCAGAGCTTAGCATAGCATAGCGCCGCATAGCATAACATAGCATATCATAGCACAGCACATCATAGCACGGCATAGCATAGCAACTAATGCTGCTTTCCTAGGGGCTCCCACTTCTAGGTAGGGTCGCACTGGGGTAATATGTTGATTGGCCATGCTGTTGCCTGCTGTTGTTGGTGTTGTCGTTGTTGCTGTTGCTGTTGTTGGTGGTGTTCTTGCTGTTCTCGTTGTTGTTCTTGTTCTTGCTCCTGCTCTTGTTATTCGTGTTGTTATTGTTGTAGATCTTGTTCTTATTATGGTTGTTGCTGTTGTTGTCCAGGGGCTGTTCTCGACGAACGAACAACACACACCCATACCCACAGGGGAACGGAATGGGGGCTATGGGCGCGTGTTGTCGGACGGCCCCCCCCCGCTCGAACGGAAGCCTTCCCCGGGTCCGGCACACCACATCCATATCCATATCCAACCCTCCTCCTCCTCCTCCTCCTTCCTCCCTCCGAGCCCGGAGATGGGAATGGGTGCGTGCTGTTCGTTCGTCAGTTTCATTCGTTCCGGGCCCCGAGGCCATCAGACATGGCTCCAGGACGAGAGGCTGCCCCTGGGGAGAAGGCCCAGGATCAGGTCGGCATGTCCTCCTGCAGGTGGACATGGGACGAAGGATGCAACATAGGCAAACCATATGTTGAAATAGTCAGAACTAGTCAAGAATCCTCCCCCACCTACTCTTTGGACTATGGCCGAATATCCCTCCTCTAGAGGAGCATGCCCGACTGAAGCCTGGGAGAAAGCCCCCCTCGGACAGATCCGTCCCTCGGAGGTCTGGGTGTCCCGAGGCGTCCTGCTCTCCCCCGTCGCCGGGGCTCCCCAGTCCCTTCCAGGGGGAGGTCTCCGAGGGCCTCCGTGCAGGCCTCGGGGAGCAGCCGGCGAGGCCCAGACGTGGCCAAGAACGCCCAACAGCCGCGAGGCTCCGTCCTCCCCCGCCCCCCCCCCCCTACCTTCAGGTCGGGCCCTTTGGGTCGGGTATGTCCTCCTACAGGCGGATTTTGAAAGAACAGTGACAAATAGCCAACAATAGCTTCAAACACAACCAAACACAGTAGACACATCGTCCCCACAAATTTTTTGGTACTTATAACAACACATGTTTGAACCAGTCTCCTGTAGAGGGGCATGCCCGATTAAACCCTACCTGTCTCCCTCCCTGTGAGAACCCGACATTTCTGGGCCTCCAGGTCCCTGTCCTCTCGGCCCCTTCCCTGGGCCAAATGATTCTTTGTCATCCCGGGTCGCTCTTGCTCCCAGGAGCCGCAAAATAGAGAACAACCCGAGACCTTTAATATTTTCCGAGGCTCGCAACCTGAGTCTCTGGAAGTCCACGGTCATCATGCTACAGGAAGGAACGCCACATAAGGAGCACATGTCCTTCTGTGGCCACCGCGAGCCTCGGCCACGAACAAGGTCCACGACCAAACTCTAGGGAACGGCCCGAACACCAGAGCCTCTCCCGAACCCAAACTGGTCCTTGTCTCTCACACACCACGCACACCCACACACACACATTCCCACACGCACGCGCACGCACGCACACACACACAAGACACACAAGACACACACAAGACACACACAACACAAACAACACACACAACCCCAACACACACACACACACTACACAAAACACACACGACACACCACACACCACACACAACACACACACGCACACGTACGCACGCACGCACGCATGCACACACACACACACGGACGCACACACGCACACACAACCACGCACACACGCACACACAACCACGCACACACGCACACACACACACACGCACACACACCACACACACACACACCACACACAACACAGCACACACGTACAACACACAACACACATAACACACAACACACTTTTTGCGTCGGCGGCTTGGCAGAGGTTGCTCTGGCGATGCGGCATTCGTGGGGAGCGCGAAGTGCAAATTGGGCCGCATTGCGTGTGGGAGGAGGGAAGAAGCCCAGCGCAAGCAGGGAGAGAGGAAGCCGGGCCCGCTCAGGCAAGTCCCGGCGGCGGCGGGGCGGGCGCTGGGGGAAGGGGAGCCAGCGGCGGCGCCAGGCAGCTGCCTGGGGGAAGGCAGCCCGAAGGCAGGCGGGCAGAGCCCACACACACACACACGCACGCGCACGCGCACACGCACACGCACACGCACACGCTCACGCACGCGCACACGCACACGCACACGCACACGCACACGCACACGCACACGCACACGCGCACGCACACGCACACGCACACGTACACGCACCCGCACACGCGCACACGCACATCCACACCCACACGCACACGCACACGCACACGCACACGCACACGCACGCGCACACGCACACGAAAACGCACACGCGCACGCACACGCACACGCACACGCACACGCACACGCACACGCACGCACGCACGCACACGCACACGCACACGCACACGCTCACGCACGCGCACACGAACACACACACACACACGCACACGCACACGCGCATGCACACGCACACGCACACGCACACGTATACGCACACCATCACGCACACGCACACGCACACGCACACGAACACGCACACGCACCCGCACACGCGCACACACACCCACACCCACACGCACACGCACACGCACACGCACACGCTCACGCACGCGCACACACACACCCACACACCCACACACCCACACACCCACACACCCATACACCCACACACCCACACACCCACACACCCACACACCCACACACCCACACACACATACACACATGCACACGTACACACAACACACACAACACACAACACACACAACACACACAACACACACAACACACAACACACACAACACACACAACACACAACACACACAGACAACACACACAACACACACAAAACACACAACACACAACACACACACAACACACACACACAAAACACACAACACACACACACACAACACACAACACACACAACACACAACACACACAACACACAACACACAACACAGACAACACACACAACACACAACACACACACACAACACACAACACAAACAACACACACAACACACACCACACACAACACACATTCAACACACAACACACAACACACAAGACACACAAGACACACAACACACACAACACACACACACAACACACAACACACACACAACACACAACACACAACACACAACACACAACACACACAACACACACAACACACACAACACAACACACACAACACACAACACACAACACACACAACACACAACACACACACAACACACACAACACACAACACACAACACACACAACACACAACACACACAACACACACAACACACACAACACACAACACACACAACACACACAACACACACACACAGCTCACAACACACACTCACAACACACACACACACAACACACACACACACACACCCGCAAGCGCGCGCACACGCACGCGCTCACGTACACGCACATGCACACGCACACGCACGCGCACACGCACACGAACGCGCACACGCACACGCACACGCGCGCACACCCACACCTACACCCATACCCACACGCACACGCACACGCACACGCTCACGCACGCGCACACGATCACACACACGCACACGCACACGCACATGCACACGCACACGCACACGCGCGCACACACATTCCCACACCCACACCCACACCCACACGCACCAACCTGCACACGCACCCGCACCCGCACCCGCACCCGCACCCACACCCGTACCCACACCCACACCCGCACGCACGCATGCACACGCGCACAAACATACACACACTCTCGCGTTCTTTCTCTCTGCCTCCTCTGATCGTATCCCATTTTCCTTCCTTCCCTCCCTCCCTCCATCCCTTCCCCTCTCTCTCGTACTCTCTCCCCTCCTCTCTCTCTCTCCCTCTCTTTCCTTCTCTTTCTCTCTCTCTCTCTTTCACTCTCTCTCTCTCTCCCTCTCTCCCTCTCTCCATCTCACTCTCTCTCTCCCTCTCCCTCTTTCCCTTTATCTCTCTCTCTCTCTATCTCTCTCGTTCTAATTTTTCCCCCCCTCTCTCTCTCTCTCTCCCTCTTTCACTCCCTCTCTCCCTCTTCCTCTCCATCTCCCTTCCCTCCCCTCCCTCCCTTCCTTCCTCCCTCCCCGCGCGCGCGAGCGCTCATGATGCCTAAACACGCGCGGGCGCGCACGCGCGGGAGCGCACGCGCGGGCGCGCACGCGCGGGCGCGTGCGCCACCGGCGCGCGCGCGCAAATGTGCGCGGGGACCCGCGGTGCAGCTGGGCGCCGCGCCGACTTGCGCGCCTCAATGGGGGCCACCAGCGACTCCATCGGAATGCTCACCGACCTCAGGCGGGCACGCCCGATCGGGCTGGTTGCCATGGATGGCCATCGGACGCTTGGAGCCACTGCGAGGCTCCCGCGGCCTCTCTCTGGTTCGCCTATGCCCACTCGGCCTACGCCTGATGATCTGTCCAAGCCCCTTGATCTACGAGGTATTTCCAGGGCCCCGGCAGGGTGCGATCGACACTGAGCCTCAGCGTGGGACTCTGGATGCAGGCCACAGCGAATTGCATACGTAGGCCGATGCATAGGCCGATCGATCCAACTTCGAACTAACCGCCAATCGTCCGGAAGACCGAAGGGGACCCGCGAAGATCTTTCCGTCTGAGGGGAAAATACAATGGTCGCTCCGCTATACCCCCCCAAGCCGTACGTCTCTTATGAGAAAACCAAACAAGAGGAGGAGGAGGAGGAGGAGGAGGAGGAGGAGGAGGAGGAGGAGGAGGAGGAGGAGGAGGAGGACGGTGGAAGAGGGGAGGAGGAGGAGACGGGAGAGGGGGGGGAGGGGATGTAGGAGGAGGTGGAGGAGGAGGGAGGAGGGAGGAGGTGGAGGAGGAGGGAGAGGTGGTGGAGGGGGTGGAGGAGGAGTTGAAGGAAAGAGGAGGAGGAGGAGGAGGGGAAGGAGGAGAGGAGGAGAGAAGGAGCAGGACCAGTAGTAGTTGTAGTATGTAGTTTGTAGTAGTTGTAGTAGTAGTTAGTAGGTATTAGTGAGTTGTTAGAGTAGTAGTAGTAGGTGTAGTAGTAAGTGAGGCAGTAGCTGTTGTTAGTTAGTAGCAAGTAGCTAGTAGCAGTAGTATGCTGTAAGCAAGATAACAGTAGGGCTGTTGCCAGTAGAAGTAGACATAGTAGCAGTGCAAAATCATGCAGTGCAGTAGCAAGTATGCAGTGCAACGAGTTAGTAGCAGTAGCAGTAGTAGCAGTAGCTGTTAGTAGTTTAGTTGTTTGTGCAGATAGTGAGTTATTGTAGTAGTAGAGGTAGTAGTAGTAATAGTTAGTAGTAGTAGTAGTAGTAGTTGTAGTAGTAGTAGTAGTAGTAGTAGTCAGTAGTAGGTATTAGGAGTAGTAGTTGTAGTAGTAGTGGTATTAGTTAGTAGTAGTAGTTGTAGTTAGTAGTAGTTAGTAGTAGTGTAGTAGTATAAGTAGTTGTAGTAGTTCGTAGCGTAGTATTTGTCGTAGTTGAGTGTTTGTAGTAGTAGTAGTAGTAGAGTAGTTGTAGTAGTAGTTGCAGTAGCAGTGCCTAATAGCAGTAGCAGTTGCTAGTAGCTGTAGCCAAGGTAGCAGATTGTAGTTGTAGTAAGTAGTAGTAGTAGTAGTAGTAGTAGTGGTAGTAGTAGAGTAGTAGTACGTAGTTTGTTGTAATAGTTAGTAGTTTGTAGTTGTAGTCGTAAGTGTAGTGTAGTAGTAGTGGTAGTTGTGGTAGTAGTTGTAATTTAATAATTTAGTCGTAGTAGTCGTAGTAGTCGTAGTCGTAGTCGTAGTCGTAGTAGTAGTAGTAGTAGTAGTAGTAGTAGTAGTAGTAGTAGTAGTAGTAGTAGTCGTAGTAGAGGAGGAGGAGTAGGAGGAGGATGAGCAGGAGGAGGTGGATGAGAAAGAGGCGGAGGAGGGGTAGGAGGAGGAGGAGGAGGAGACGGAGGAGGAGGAGGGGGAGGAAAAGGAGGGGGATGAGGAGGGGAGAGTAGGAGAAGTGATTATGATGTGGCTGCTGATGCTGCTGCTGCTGATGATGATGATGATGATGATGGTGATCATGATAATGCAGATGATGATGATGACGAGGAGGAGGAGGAGGAGGAGGAGGAGGAGTCGGAGGAAGGAAGGAAGGAGAGATGAAATATGATAGAGACAAACTGGGTGCGCCCGCGCCATATCTGACGTCGTACCCCGCCCTCCCTCCCATCATGCCCCATTGCGTTACTTTTTCGCTATCCGCAGGCGCGTGTCCTGGCCGACTTGGAACTCCGAACAAGACCTCATCGTTTCACGCGCCATCGGAGAGCGGGAGCTGCGTACAGGAGGATGAGCAGAAGGGAAATAATTCGCAGGCCCAACGGGCCAGAGACGTGCTAAGATCTCCGGTAACATCTATACAATATTTCTATTTCTACTTCGCGCGCGCGGGGCGGCCCCTGGGGGTCCCTGGACCAAAAGTACCCCGGGGGCGGCCCGGGCGCGGCCCGGGAGGCTCCCCCAGGACTCTCAGGATCGCCCCAAGAGGGCCCCAAGAGGCCCCGAAGACGGTCCAAGAGAGGCCCGAGACGCCCGAAGATCGCTCCACGACGCCCAAGCTGGCATCCAGACGGCCCAAGAGGCCTCCAAAATTGCCCTAGAGGCCTCCAAGATGCCCCAAGAGGCCTCCAGGAGCACTCCCAAGAGAACCTACATAAGCAACATTCATTGCTTTCCCTTGAGGTTTTGGACAGATTTGAGCGGTTCCACCTTTTCGGCTTCCCGACGCCCCTAGACGGCTCAAGAGGCCCCCAAGATCGCCCCAAGAGGGCCCAAGAGGCCCCCAAGAGGGCCCCACGACGGCCCCAGACGGCTCCAAGACGGCCCAAGAAGCCCCCAAGACTGCCCAAGAGGGCCCCAAGAATGCCTCAAAAGGGGCCCCAGAAAGGGAACACGAAACACAATCTCGAACTCTCGGCCCTCAGAGGCCCCTCAGAGGCCCCTAGGAAGCCCCAAGAGGCCCCCAAGAGGCTCCAAGACGCCCCCAAGACGCCCTCGGGAAGTTCCCAGGAGGCCCCCTAGAGGCCCCCAAGCGCCCTCAGGAGGCCCCCCAAATGCCCCCCAAGCACTCAACCAGCCAGCGATCCTCCTCCTCCTTCTCCTCCTCCTCGTCCTCCCTCCTCCCTCCTCCATACTTCTTTCTCCTCCTTCCACCTCCTTCCTCCTCCTCCTCCTCCTCCTCCTCCTCCTCCTCCTCCTCCGCCCTAAGGAACACCCCCGAGACCACCAAACCCCAAGAAGCCCCCGAACGGCCCCAAGAAGCTCCCAGGATACCCAAAAACAAGCCCCCAGGGCCCCCAAAACAGCCCCCAAGAGACCTCAAGAGGCTTCAACACTGCCTCCAAGAGACGCTCGAAACGCCTGCCAAGAAAACCCCACCAACGCCGCATTGACAACGATCCCTCGGGCAAACAGGAAAGATGAGGCTACATGGGCCAGCGGAATGACCGAAGCGATTAAATATTGATAAGGAAGCAGGAGGAAGCCGAGGACGAACAGCAGCAGCAGGAACTGGAGTGGAAGGAGTGGGAGGAGCAGGAGTACCAGGGGAAGGTGGATGAAAGGAAAAGAGGGGGGCGACAACGATGAAAAAGGACTCGGATCTGGAAAAGTGGCCTGCGCTGGGACAAGAGCGCCACTCTGAAAGACGGGAGCACAGCGCCGATCCGAAAATGAGGCCCACGCTGCAACAGGAGCACTATTCTGAAACATCGAACTGTAACAACTATGAGAAAACGACTTCTGAAATCTGGTGGAAAAAATACGCGGAGGGGGCCGACCATCTCCCGCACTGAATCAGGGGGGAGAGGAGAGTAGTATATTTACACCATGTGCAAAGAGGAGGGGTCGGGGGTGCAGGCGGAGGGGTCGGGGACGGAGGACGAGGAGGATCGCACCTGGACCGTCAACAAAACGGATCAGCATGAAACACCGGCCCCTGGGAGGGGGTCGAGAGCAGCTGGCAAAGGCTACCGCAACCCGCGCCCTCCTCCCTCTAGCGCTTACATTGAGCAGGGGCCGACCGTCCCGGCATTCTTATAGGCCTACCACGACATGTTCTTAGAACCCGAAAAAATTCTAACAACAAGAACAACGTTCTGATAACATAAGGCCCATGCATGGGAACAGGACTGTCCCAGCCAGACCTGTTCTAAGAACATTTCAGGCAAACCACGAACGGTTCTTAGAACCTTCTTTGGTGGGCAATCCAGGACGCCTCGTCGCTGGTTGAGTACAGCGGCCCAAGACCACCCAGGGTCCAGGGGCCCGGCGCGTAGGGGGAGTCGTCGGCGAGCCCCAGCCTGGCAGGGCGGATGCTTCGGTTGGGGGGGGGGCCCCACCCGTCCTTCCTCTTCCTCCTCCGCCTCCCCTTCCTGCTTCTCCTGCTTCTCCTGCTTCTCCTGCTCCTCCTCCTCCTCCTCCTCCTCCTCCTTGTCCTCCTCCTCCTCCTCCTCGTCCTCCTGCTCCTGCTCCTGCTCCTCCTCCTCCTCCTCCTCCTCTTCCTCCTCCTCCCTCTCTTCCTTCCCCTCCTTCTCGTCCTCCTGCTCCTCCTACGTCCCCGTCCTCCTCCCCTGTCTCGGTTTCCTCCTCCTCCTCCTCATCCTCCTTCCCCGCCCCTCCCCCCTTCCCCCTCGTCCACCTCTCACTCTTTCTCCTCTCCTCCTTCTCCGCCTCCTCCGTTCCCTCCTCCTCCTCCTCTTCTTTCCCCCTCCTCCTCCTCCTCCACCCCCTTTGCCTCCGCTTCCTCCTCCTCCTCCTCCTCCTCGTGTTCATCCTTCTCTTTCTGCGCCCCTATCGTCGTCGTCGTCCTCTTCCGCCCCGTCTTCGTCGTGACCGTTGACTGGGCAAGAACAACTCCTCTGCCTCCTGCTTCTGTTCCTCCTCCATCCCCTCCGCTTCCACCTACTCTTCCCCTCATCCTCCGCCTCCTCCTCCTCCTCCTCCTCCTTCCCGTCTTCATCCTCCACTTCCCTTCCTCCTCCGCCCCCTTTGCCTCCTCCTACTCCTTTTCAACCTCCTCTTTCTCCGCCCGTCGTCGTCGTCGTCGTCGTCGTAGTCCTCCTCCTCCTCCTCCTCCGCATCCCTTCTCTTTCTGCTCCTCGTCTTCCTTCTCCTACTTCTCCGCCTCCTCCTCGTCGTCGTCGTTATTCTTCTCCTCCTCCTCCTCCGCCTCCTGCATCCCTCTGCCTTGTGAACAACGCTTTCTCGTCGTACCACTACGCGTGTGGGTAAGGCGGATCAGACATGTCGCTTGAAACTTCAAGGAGCGCAAATCGGTTTCAGAATGTGACTCTCGCCTTAGCGCCGCGCGCACTCGTCTCAAGCGTTGGCGACGTCTACACGGATCCACAGGCGTCTGTGTTCTCCTCTCAGCGCCGCGTGCACTCGCCTTACACATGTCCAACAGCAGCCCAGGTCGAGGCTTGCGCCTTCTCAAAAGTGGGCTCTCGTTTAACACTTCCTTTAGTTGCATGACAGCACCTTTCTTCATGAGCAACAGCAATGCGGATGGAGGGCGGCTCCTTTTCAGAATGAGGCTCGCACTGGAGACGTCCTCACATTTGTCGGCAATTGGCTTAACAACAATTGGACGTGGGGATTGCGGTCCCTTTCTAAAACGGGGCTCTCCCTGGGACACGCCCTAGAATTTTCTCGGGCCAGAATGGCAAGTCCATGGGTCGCTCATCTTTCAAGCGGGGATCTGGGTGTTGAGAAGGAATGCTTGTAGGGACTTCTGAGCGGGGGATTCGGGGCGGGCGCGTGTACTGCAGCATCGCTGACGCAAACTGGGTTCAGGTCTTCCCCCTCCTCTCTTGCTTCTCTCTCTCTCTCTCTGTCTGTCTGTCTGTCTCTTTCTATATATATAGATAGATATACACACATCTCTCTTTCCCTCTCTCTCTCTCTGTCTTTGTCTCTCTTTCGGTCGTTGCCTTTCTCTGCCTCTGTCTCTGATGTCTCTGTCTCTGCCTCCCTCTCTCTCTGTCTCAGTCTCAATCGCTGTCTCCATCCCTCTCTCTCTCTCTTTCTCTCTATCTCCGTCTCTCTCTCTCTCTCTTTCTCCTCTCTCTCTCTCTCCTCTCCACTCTCTCTCTCTCTTTCTCTCTTTCGTTCACCCCGAATTTCTTCCGCTGTTACGCATGGAGGCATCAGTATGTAAGGAGCTGGCCACCATCATTCCACGTAGCACTTCTACCATTTGACGTAACAAGGCCTGCCGAATGTCGCACTTGACGGACGGACGCGCAACTTATGTGAGAATACTCGGACCGTGAGCGGCCCTGCCGCGGCCTCGGCGAGCTGTGCGTGCTTCACCGGCACCGGTGGCTCTGTGCATCCCGCCAGCCCTCCGGCCGGCAGCGGCCCAGGGCCAGGCCCCGAGCCCACTCCCCGACACCGGTTCAAGGTTCGCTCCTTCCCCTCCCGTGACGAACGATCAACACGCACCTATACCCATAAGGGGGACGGAATGAGCTAATGGGGGACAGCTCCCCGCTCGAACGGGAGCCTTCCCAGGGGTCCAACTACCCGCACCCATACCCACAGCCAGTCCTTCTCCCTCCGACCTCCCTATGGGTACGGGTGTGTGTTGCTCCTTCGTCCTCCCGCTCCCTCCCCCCTGGGCTCCACACCCGGCTCCACCTCCTCCTCCTCTTGCTCCTCCTCCTCAGATCCCTCCTCCTCCTCTCCCTCCTCCTCCTCCTCCTCCTCCTCCTCCTCCTCCTCCTCCTCCTCCTCCTTCCCCTCCTCCTCCTCCTCCTCCTCCTCCTCCCCCTCCTCCTCCTCCTCCTTCCCCTCCCGCTCCCCCCTCCCTAGGGGCTCCGCACCCCGCTCCGCCTGGCGGCACCCCACGGGCGCCCCCCGACCAGCGCCCGAGGCAGACCCGCCGCGCCCCAGCGCGGCCCGCGGGGGCGCCCTGGGCCCCGCTGGCGGAGGAGGGGCGTGCTCTCGGGGCCGCCGCTGCGGTGCTGCGCTGGGCGTGGGCGGCGCCCCGCCGCCACAAGGCCGCGGCGACGCCGCCCGAAGCCGCGGCGGCGCCGGGCGGCCCGCGCTGCCGCCGGCGGGCCCCGGGCGCGGCACCGTCTCGTCGCTATCGGGCGTGTTCGCCCCGTCTCGGCCCAGGAGGGCCCCCACGGGGCGCCCAAGAGGGCCCCAGAAAGGGCCCCAGGACGGCCCCCCAAAGGGAGCCCAAAGAGGGAGCCACGAAGCGAAGATCCGGGCCTTCCTCCCCAAGAGGCCCCCATGCGGCCCCAAGAGGCGCCCAGGCGGCCCCAAGAGGGCCCCAAAGAGGCCCCCAAAGCCGGGCCCCCAAGACCCTCACGGGTCGATGCAGCTTGAAGAAAATGCCGCAAACAGATGGGGTGCTGGGCTTTTGCTCGTCGCGTCGGATCTCGGGGAGCGGTGCCACCGACGGCGGCGCCGTCCGCCGCAAGACGGCGCCTTGGTACCTTGTCGGGGCCCTCCGAAACGAAGACTTTGGCAAACCAGGAGCCGGGACAGTGGCGAGCCTGAACAAAATCAGCCGTGGGTCGAACCATTCTGCGGTGTTCGTTCTCTCCAGGTGGAATGTTCGAAGTCCTGGTTAACAGTGTCCTGGTTTAGGGGGCGCAGACCTTCAGCGGCTCTCAGACGCCGGGGGGGGGAAGAGCGTTGTCCCAAGGCGGCCCACAACCCCCCACGACGGCCACAACACGGACCCCCTCACACAGCCCTGTGACCCTTCGGAGCAGTCCTAAGGCCTCCTACTGACGGGCGCCAAGATGGCTCCAGGAGGGACTTGAGAGGAAGACGAGGAGGAGGAGGAGGAGGAGAAGGAGGAGGAGGAGGAGGAGGAGGAGATGGAGGAGAAGGAGGAGGAGGAGGACAGGAGGAGGAGGAGGAGCAGGAGGAGGAGAAAAAGGAGTTGAAGTAGGACCAGTAGGAAGATGAGGAGGAGGAGGAGGATGAGGAGAAGGAGGGGGAGGATGGAGAAGGAACGCCAATGTGCGCTGCGACATATCGGTCGTGGACAAGGTAGAACCGTACTATTCCTCAAACGTGCGCCAACCTGTACTGGCCAAACGCCAATGTGCGCTGCGCCAATCGGAAAGTGTATGGCAACACAAACTGGTGCATCTTTGGTAAACTCTGGTCCGCCTCCTCCTCCTCCTCCTCTTCCTCCCAAATGTTCAAGACCTCCCCTTTTGACATAATGTCCGTTTGCGCATCGCACGATGGGGTCAGTTTGAGGATCAATGTCCTATAGGACACCCAAGCCAGTGGATACAACACACATCCAGAGCACTGGGGAACGATTGGGGGGGGGGGACTGTCAGATGTGGTGCGGGCGCGCCTCGTTATCTTCGTCGTCGTGCCCCTCCGCGTCCCGCTCTCCGTCCTCCCCCCTCCCCTCCTGGCCCCCGTGGTCGTCGTCGTCGTCGTCGTCGTCGTCGTCGTCGTCGCCCCTCTTCCCCGCCCCCTCCTTCCTCCCCATCCCTCCCCTCCCCTTCGCTTCGTCGCCACCGTCGCCCTCGCCGCCGCCGCCGCCGTCGTCGCCGTCGCTGCCGTCGTCGGCGTCGGCGCCGTTGTTGCCGTCGTCGGCGGCGGCGCCGCCGCCGTCGCCGCCGTCGCCCAACTGAAATCCGATCAACATCGGCCCCTGGACCCCTCCAGTCGCCTCCAACCGTGGCGACGAGAGCCTCTAGGGCCGCCTCCGCGGCAACCCGCCGCCGCCGTCGGCGCCGCCGAAAGCCGCCGGGCCGTCGGATGCCCGGGGGGCCCCACCGTCCAGCCTGCGGCCGTGCTGGAGCGGGCAGTACTTCAGCGCGTCCTGGCGCTGGTCACGGGGCGCATGCCACATAGGGTTTGCTTGTGGGCGGGGGGGGGGAATGGGAAGACAGATAAGGAGATGGGAATGTCGATGGGGGCGCAGAAAGGAGGAGTGGGCGAGGAGTAAAGCATGGAGTAGGGAGTAGGAGGTGGAGGGCTTCTTTTCCTCGTCCTCCGCCCCTCCATCTCCCTCCCTGTCCACCCTTCCCCGCCTCGTTTCCTTCTTCCTCACTGTTATCCTTCTCACCTTTCTCCTTGTTTTTCCTCTCCTTTCATCCTCCTCCGTCTCCTCCTCCTCCTCTTCCTCCTCCTCCTCCTCCTTCGTCTTTCTTATAGTTCTCGTACTTCCCCATCAAGACTGGGAGACCGGGGGGAAGGAGTAGGGCAAACGGGGGAGGATGTGATGGTGCGGACGATGAGGGTGATGATGGGGACAGGGCAATTGACAAGGGTGAGGAGAACGAGTAGTAGATGAGTCGGATGGTAAAGGAAAGGCGGGGAAAGGGCGAAGGGGCGGAAGGGGTAGGAGGGACACCCCTAGAAGTGTCCACGCGGTAACCACATACGACGCCCTGGATACGAGCATAACGCAGAGATGTGTATCGCGGGCGGGTGCGAGCATATGGCATGCACTTATCTGGCCCTGCGAGTCCCTTGACGTTCACCGTCGGGTGCGACGAACGCAACGCGCTGTGAAGCAGACAAACGCTTCCAGTGGTGCTTAAGACAATGGGCATCGAGCGCAACCATGAGGTGGTAGCGGCTGGCGGCGGTATCAAAAAGAGGCGACATCATCATACAGCAATCACAAGTGCACGCCAATCACATGACATGTCAGAAGTCCGCAAGACGCCCACATATTTTATGGTTGCATGCCTCCGTTTTTTCCCTACATCCTGAATGTGATTCCTGACTTCCAGGAACACCTTCTCCTCCTCCCACCCCTGCCTCCCCCTTCCACATAACTAACACTGCTACTACAACAACAACCAAACTACCTACTATTGCTACTGCTACACATGCACATGCAACATGCAACAAGTACTATTACTACCACAACGACTGCGACTACGACTACGACTGCCACGACGACGACAAATACGACTAGAACTGCGGCTACGACTGCGAACCCTATTACTACTACCACTACCACTACCACTATTACTACTACTACTGCTACTACTCTTACTACTACTACTACTACTACTACTACTACTACTACTACTACTACTACTACTACTACTACTACTACTAGTACTAGTACTAGTACTAGTACTAGTACTAGTACTAGTACTAGTACTACTACTCCGACTACTCCGACTACTCCGACTACTACTACTGCTATTGCAAGTACTACTAGCACGACCACTGCGACGGTTACACCTACTACAACTACAACTGTTACCACTACGGCTACGACTACGACTACGCCTACGGCTACGAAGACTACTACTACTACGGCTGCGACTACGATTACGACTACGACCAGGGCTACGACTACGCCTAAGACTACGACTGCGTCTACGGCTACGACGACTATGACTACTACTACTACTACTACTACTACTACTACTACCTGCTACTGCTACTACTGCTACGACGATGACGAAGACGACAATGGCGACTACTACTACTACTACTACTACCACTACTACTACTACTACTACTACTACTACTACTACTACTGCCACTACTACTACTACTGCTACGACCACTGTTACTACCACCACCACCACCACCACTACTACTACTACTACTACTACTGCTACTACTACTACTACTACTACTACTACTACTACAATTACGGCAACAATGACTACTACTACTACTACTACTACTACTACTACTACTAACGCTGCTACTACGACTATGGCTACGACTACGATCACGTTTACGATTTGGCCTATGACTACAACTGGTGCTAGTAGTAGTACTGCTACTACTACGACGACACAGCTACTCCTGCTACTACTACTGCTACTACTACTACGACGACGACTACGACTACTACTACTACTACTCGTTCTATTGCTACTACTACAACTACTACTGCTACTATTACTACAACAACAGGAGTTAGTACTGCTACTACTATTGCTGTTACTACTACTGCTACTACTACTACTGCTACCACTACTACTACTACTACTGCTGCTACTACTACTACTACTACGACTACTACTCGTGCTCTACTACAAATTTTCGTAACAGTACTACAACTACTCCTACTCCTACGACTAGAACTACGACTACGACTGCGACTACGACTGTTACTTTTACTGCTGCTACTGCTACTACTTCTACTACTAATACTAATACTACTACGGCGACGACCACTACTACTACTACTACTACTACTACTACTACAACTACTACTACTACTACTGCTACTACCACTACTACTACTACTACTACTACTACTACTACTACTACTACTGTTACTACTACTACTACTACTAGTACCACTACAGCTACTACTACTGCTTCTGCTGGTATTACTATTCCACCTACTATTCCTACTACTACTACTACTACTACTACTAAGACTACGGCTACGACTACGACTACGACTACGACTACGACTACGACTACGACTACGACTACGACTACGACAACTACTACGACTACTACTACACTACGACTACGACTACGTACTACTACTACTACTACTACTACTACTACTACTACTACTACTACTACTACTACTACTACTACTACTACTACTACTACTACTACTACTACTACTACTACTACTACTACTACTACTACTACTACTACTACTACGACTACTACTACGACTACTACGACTACTACGACTACTACGACTACTACGACTACTACGACTACGACTACGACTACGACTACGACTACGACTACGACTACGACTACGACTACGACTACGACTACTACTACTACTACTACTACGACTACTACTACTACTAAAAATACAACAACTACTACGACTACGACTACGACTTCGACTGCGACTTCTCCTCCTCCTCCTCCTCCTCCTCCCCTCTTCCTCCTCGTCCTATTTGCAAACATTTTTTTGCCGGGATATCCCGCCTTAGCGAGGATATAAACATTCGCGCCCCTCACACCCATCCAGGGAAGCACCGCCTGAGCAAGGGGGGTATCGGAAACCTTTACTGTTCAACAATTACGCTACCGAGGAACCCCACATACTCATATCATGGCTAGGGTGATGACAGCTGGAGTGAAGCATGTGAGAACGATGTTGGTGGCCAGGGTCCATCCTGGCTTGTTTTTTCGAAGCGGACCCTGACTCGGCGGCGAGAAGTCTTCAGGAAGCCCCAGAACGGCCGAAAAACGCCGGCGGGGGCCGCCCCGCTGTCTCGACTGGCCGCCTTGGCCTCCTCCCCCCCCTGCCCCGACAACTCGGGTCTCGGCACCTCGGCCCTCGGATCTCGCAGGCGGGGCGCGCGCCCTTGGATGATGTTGAACACACAGGGGGCGCTTCGTTTGTTGGGTTTGTGGTCGTCTCTGTCTCTTCTTTGTTGCTTCGTTGTTTTGTTAGGTGCTTTTTGTCTGTTTGTGGTTGTTTCTGTGCTTGTGGGTTGTGTTCCCGCGTTCTCGATGTCGACGTGATGTTTCACTGTCGGAACCAAATTTTCGTTGCGGGATTGTCGTTCGCACCGTGTTCGGTTCGGTTCCATCTTGTACTGCTGTGTTCTTCCCTCTTTTGGAGTGTCGTTTTTTTCCCCATCCTGATTTTTGGTCGGCCGAGCACGGAAACATTGAGACGGTGAAACATGCCCCCACCTTTCATTAACATGAGCTCAGGTCATGTCGCGCATGTCCTCTTACAGGCGGATTCTGGAAGGAATGATAAGCATGGCCAAAACACATTCAAATATAGTCACAAAGGCACGGACAAATCGTCCCCTGCCTGTTTTGTTGGACTAGTTTGGGAGATTCCTCCTGCAGAGGTACGCCTGAAAGTTAAGGGTGAACCGCGAAGTTAGAGGAATAACAAACAACGTGAAAGTAATTTCTGGCGCTCCGCGCGGCCAGCGCGGACCCAAGAAATCCGCGCGGAGCGCCAAACAAACATGTTTATGACGTTCTTTATTCTCGTCCGGCGTCTCGCCTGAGCCGCACGTCCTCGTCCTCGTCCTCCTCGTCCTCCTCGTCCTCCCCTCCTCTTTGTTCTTCGAGAGGTCCTCCTCCTCCTCCTCCTCCTGCTCCCCCCTCCTCCTCCTCCTCCTCCTCCTCCTCCTCTCCTCCTCCTCCTCCTCCTCCTCCTCCTCCTCCTCCTCCTCCCCTTCCCCCTTCCCCTCCTCCCCCTCCTCCTCCTCCTCCTCCTCCTCCTCCTCCTCCTCCTGCCCTCCTGCTCCTCCTCCTCCTCCTCCTCCTCCTCCCTCCTCCTCCTCCTTGTTCTTCGAGAGGTCCTCGTCCAGCGTCTCGCCCGAGCCGCACGCCGCGCCGCAGATGCCGCCCACGGCCAGGCAGCGGTCGTTGAAGGGCGGGCCTCGTGCCAAGGGTGCGCGCGGGCGCCGCTGCCGCCCGTGGCGCGCGCATGGGGCAGGGCCTGCTGCGGGCAGCCAGCGATGTGAGCTCGTCGGTCCCTTCGGAGGCAACTCGTGGGACCCTCTCATGCCCCCCCCCCGCAGGCCAAGGCTTCTGGTATATGATAGATGCGCACACGCACATTATCTCTATATATATATGTATGCATATGTATATATACATATAGCGTATGCATCTGTTCATATGTATATACGCTTGTTTGTACGTGTAGATCTACACATGTATGCGCAGCCCCTCCAACACCCATTCAATTGGCATGGGTCTTTGAACTTTCCGTTCGCACCCTCACTGATCATCCGCCTTCTTTTCGTCCGTGTCTCTGCTCACCCATCTTTCCTGCTCGTCAGTTCTCCGCTGTTTTCTCGTGCCGGGATCTACTTGGAATCAGCTGGATTTGGGATCTGTTTGATTCCAATCAGGTTCTAATTCGATTTTCATGGGAATCCAAGTGGACACAGCTGGCTCTGGGATCCGCTCACTTCCAATTATATCATAATTCGATTCCAATAGGGGTCCAAGTGTAATCAACTGGATCTGGGATCTGCTCAGTTCTAACTAGATTTGAACTATATTCCAATTCACTTGGAATCACCTGTGTCTGTGATCTGTACAATTCGGACCAGATCCCAATTCGATCCCAAGAGGAATCCAATTTGAAACAGCTGCATCTGGGATTTGCTCCATTCCACTTAGGTTCTACGTCGAATCACATTGGAATCAGCTGGGTCTGGGATCTGCTCAATTCCAAATCTATGTTGATCCCATTCCGCACGGAATCTATTTGGAATCAGCTGGACCTGGTCTGCTCACCTCCATTTAGATTCTTAATTCAAATCGAAGTCCCACTTGGACTCAGCTGGATCTGGGATGAGCCCAATTCCAAGTAAATCCTCAGTACATCCCAATAAACCTCAAATGAAACTCAACGGGACATCTGCTCCATTTCACGTAGGGCTTCATTCGGATATAATCGGAATCGAATTTGAATCACCTGGCTCTGGGATCTGTGCCATCCCAAGTAGATTCTAAGTCGATCCCGCTAGGAACCTATTTGGAAGCAACTGGACCTGGGATATGCTCAATTCAAATCCGATACTAAGTAGATTACAATCGGAATCTATCTGGAATCAGCTGGATCTGGGATCTGCACCATCTCAATTCGATTCTGAGAAGATTCCCGTAGGAGTCCATTCTGAATCAACTGTGTCTGGCATTTGCTCAATTCTCATTCGGGTTTATCCGGTCCCAGTAGGAATCGAATTGAAATCAGATGACGGGGTTTCGCTCCACCCCAGTGAGACTTCACTTGTGTTCCAATCGGAATATACTTGTAATCAGCTGGATTTGGAATCTGCTTCTCTCTCTCCTTCTCTCTCTCTCTGTTTCTGTCTCTCTCTCTCTCTCTGTGTCTCTCATGTTCTCTCCCTCTCACACATGTTGTTCCTTCACTTTTGTCTCTCGCTCTCTCTCTCTCTCTCTCTCTCTCTCTCCCAGACAGCCACCACAATCCCTTCGAAAACACAAGGTTTGCGATGTCAGGCGTGCGGGAACCCCGTGTTGTCATTGGGATGCTGGGGGGGGGGGGGCTGGATTTTCTTCCAGCGAAAATCCAACCCAAGAGCCCTCCCAGGAGCTCGGGCCCCCAGAATCCCCAACCCCCCAAACATCCAAATGAAAACACACACATCCTCACATCTCATCTCAGGAATCTCCAACATCCCAATGAAAACGAAGGATTTCCGCACCCCTGACATCGCAAAACTTTTGTTTTCATTGGGACGTGTAAGATTTCAGGGTGAGACATGAGGAAATCATGTGTTTCCATTCTGATTGTTTTTGATGTTTGGGATTCTGGGGATCGGGGCTCCTGGGAGGGCTCCTGGGTTGGATTTTCGCTGGGGAAAGGGGAATCTCAAAACTGCACCAAACATCAACATGAAAACACATGGGTTCCCCACTTCTCATCCCACAAATCCCAAACACCCACACGAAAACACAGGGTTTCCGCACCCCTGACATCGCAAACACTGTGTTTTTTTTCACAAGGGATTGTGTTGGGTGTCTGGGAGAGAGGAAGAGAGAGAGAGAGAGAGAGAGAGAGAGAGAGAAAGAGAGAGAGAGAGAGAGAGAGAGACAGAGAGAAACAAACAACACAAGCGAACAAGGAAGAGAGAGAGAGAGATAGAGATAGTGCGACAGAGAGATGGGGGGGGAACGAGAGATAGAGAAATAAAGGGAGAGAGAGAGAGAGAGAGAGCCAGAGAGAGAAAGTGAGAGAGCGAGAGAGGGAGAGAAGGAGAGGCAGAGAGAGAGAGAGAGCGACAGAGAGAAAGAGAACGACATAAATAAACAGAGAGAGCAAGAGAGACAGAGAGAGGAAGAGAACGAGAGAGAGAGAGAGAGAGAGATAGAGAGACAGTAGAGAGAGAGAGAGAGAGAACAACACACCAGTAAATACGATCAGGACAATGAGTAAAGGAATAGCACCACCGTCGCACGTGAATGCTTGTACAACAATGGGTGATGGGGATGAGGCTGCCCATACATGTGTGTGTGCGCGTGCCATACACATCTATCAGATGCACATCTGTGAGTGTGCATCTTATGCCTATGATCTGTATATATGTATATAACTGTACTAGTACGATGCGTAACCATGGACATATAACAATCATCCGCCTTGGCTCACGGTGCAACGGTCTGGCCTGGGTCGCGAGGGTTCCTGGAGGGCCCAAGCCGGCCCCCGAGTGCCCCAAGGAGGGCCGCAGGACGGGCCAAGAGGGCTCCAGCAGGCCTCTCGGACGGTCCAATTGGGGGCCCCGAGCCGCCGAACGCGATCGGCCCGAGCACGGGGGCCCCGAGTCGCCGAGCGATCCGTCCAATACGCCCCAGGTGGCCTCTGTCCGCTGAGGTGGTTCATTCCTTCCTGGACGCCGCCAAGCGGCGGGTCCTCCTCCTCCTCCTCCTCCTCCTCCTCCTCCTCCTCCTCCCTGTGCGGGGGCTCCACGGGGGTGATTCGGTGCGCGCCACAGGCTCCCCCGAGAGGCGCCTGCGGTGTCCATCATCTCCCCGCTCGTGAAGACGGGCTTCGCGGTCATGCAGGCGACCTCACCAACAGCGCAGCAATAGGCCCAGAACTATTCGTCCCACCTGTGGCTCACATCTCGACTGTCCTGCTCACACTCGCCTGTTCCCCGTCTTCTAGCCGCGTGGCAGCAAGGTGAGATGCGGAAGCCTTCTGGACCCGCCATTGTGCCGAAGGCACTGGGTGGGGTGTCCTGCTGCTTCTTCGAGACCAATGCTTTTCGCAGGTGCCCAGAGCCCCTGATCTCCGGAATTCTGGGGCGCCTCTTGGCGCTCCCGCGCGCTCTTGGAGGACCCCGCGTGACTTTGCCAGAGGCCTCAGGAGCGTGGCTTAGACTCCACATTGTGAGCGTTTTCTTATTCGGCGTTTCGACGTTGGGCGGAAGGGAGGGGGAGGGGGGGTCTGGCTCTGGGCCTCTGCTTAATGCGACTGTTTACAACAGTGCGTCATGTGGGGGAGACTCCACCTGCTCAGAACAGGCGCCAAAAATAGACAACATCTACTCCATGGGGGGGGGAGGGGGGGTGCGAGGGCCCGCGCCGATCGGCAAAACAATGAATAAGAGAACGACCACGCTCTCATCACTACAAGGATCTCCAACTCCTTGCCGGATCCCTGCTGGGGGCCTCCAGGGCCGTCTGAAGGTCTGAGGGGGCCAGGCGGGGCTCACGGCTTGTTTTGTGCTTTTCGTGATTGTTCTCGCCATGCGGGTTTTCTGTGCGTCCAGGACGGCCCACGAGGCCCCCAAGATCGCTCCTAGACGCCCCCCCGACCCAGACCCCCTCGCGTTTTGAAAAAAACACGACGGGAATGTTTGTTCGCCCTTCCTGGGCCTCGGGACCGTCAAACATGATTCAAAATGAAAAACCGGTCCCCAGGAAGGGGTCCAGACTTCTGAGGGGCACGCCATGAAAAAATCACGACGTCGGGGGCCTGGGGAGGCGTCCAAGAGGGCGCAATTTATGCTCCCAAGACGCCGTCATGAGGGGGAACTCAACCTGACATGCCCGGCTCTTCCCCCAAAGATGGCCCCCGAGACCGCTAGCAGGCCTCCAGAAGGTCCCTAGAGGCCCCCCAGAGGTCCCCAAGCAAGAGACCTCCAACATGCCACCAAGCGACCTCCCAAGAGTCTTCACAAGACACGACGGGATGGGCCGAAAGCCATTCTATCCGCCGCCCCCTGTCGATTCATCGCAGGTGTGCCTGGCGTGCTGGACCCTTTCGGTTTTGGCTTTGGCTCTTTTTCCAAAAGAACTCCCCCTGGCGCTTCGGCCCGTCCCGCCGGCCCTGCGGAAAGCCTGCAAACGACCTCAACGTCCACAGAAAATCCTCCAAGACGCCTCAAGATGGCCTCCAAGATGGTCACGTTGGCCCAAGATAGCCTCCAAGATGGTCCAAGTTGCCTCCAAGTCCGCCGAAGACGCCATCAAGACGGCCCAAGATGACTCCGATTCCGCCCAAGAAGCCTCCAAGATGGACCCAGACGGCCCAAGAGGCCCTCAAGACGCCCCTGAGACGTCGTCCAGGAGGGCTCGAAGAGGCCAAAATCATTGGTTTTGCTTAGGTTTTTGAAGGCTTCGGGTATTTGCTTATTTTCGGCACTCCGACGGCCAAAGACGGTTCAAGAGGCCCCCACAATCGCGCCAAGATGGCTCCAAAGGTCTTCAAGATGACCTCATCACGGCCCAAGAAGCCTCCAAGACGGACCCAAGAGGCTTCCAAGTTCGGCCAAGATGGTCCAAGATGGCCTCCGAGACGGCCCACGAGGGTCCAAGATGGCCACCAAGACGGCCCAAGAGGGTTCAAGGTGTCTCCGAGTCCGCCCAAGAAGCCTCCACGACGGCTCCAGACGGCCCAAGAAGCCCCCAAGAGGCCTCCAAAACGGCCCAAGAGGCCCCCAAGAGGTGCTCACGAGGACCCGCAGAAGCTACAATTATTTTCCCTGCAGGTTTTGAAGGGTCTGTGCATTTCCTTCTTTCGGCCTTCCGAGGACTCAAGACGGCGCAAGAGGTCCCCAAGACGGTTCCAAGATCGCACAAGAGGACTCCAAGATGGCCTCATGACGGCCCAAGAGGCCTCCAAGAGGGCCTCAAGAAGTCTCCTAGAAGACCCCTAAGGCGTCCAAGACGCACAAGATGGTCTCCAAGACGGCCCAGAAAAGGCCCCAAGAGAGCCCCTACGCACTCTAGAGAGGCCCCCAAGGCGGCTCCCGACGGCGTCAGACGGGCCAGGAACCCACCAAGATGGCCGAAGTTGGCTCGAAGCTGGCCCAAGACGGCCCAAGAGGCCTCCAAGAGGGCCTCCAGGAAGGCCCGAAAAAGGCCCAAACCATCGATGTCCCATGAGTTTGTTTAAAGGATTGTGGCATTTGCATTTTTTCGGCCTTCCGACGGCCCGAGACGGCCCAAGTGCCCCCAAAGATCGTCCAATAGGCCCAAAACGGCCCCAGGAGGCCCCCAAGACGGCCCAAGAGGCCTCCAAGACGCTCAAGATGGCCTCCAAGACGGCCTAAGAGCCCTCCAAGACGTCCTCCAAGATGGCCCGAAAGGGTCAAATTGGCCTGGCGACGGCCAAGATGACCTTCAAGATGCTCATGTGTTCCCGGAAGGCTTCCCAAACCGATTCGGGGAACACATGATCCGATAGCTTGGCAAGTCTGGCTTAACGTTCGGCCGCATAGGCACTTCCAAAAGGCAGGGGGCGGCGGTGATTCGCCGTAGGCGTCTTCGATCCGCCGCCCCCTGTTGGCTTGCCAAATTTCAGGGGGTTCTTCTTCTTATTCTTCCTCTTTTAGAGCTCCCACTGGGGCTTCGGCCCAGCGCGCTGGCCACCCGGAACATGTACATGTCAATGCCTTTCTCGCCCAAGATGGCCTCCCAAATGCCTCCAAGACGGCCAAGCTGACCACAAGGGATCCCAACATGGTCCCAAGTTGCACCCAAGACGGCCCAAGACTCAAGATGGCCTCAAGATGGGCTACGACGGCCTCAAAGGTCCGCAAGAGGCCCGCAGGATGCCTCCAAGACGGCCCAAGAGGCCCCCAAGAGGGCCTCCAGGACGGCCCGAACAGGCCAACATCGTTGATGTTCCTTCGGTTTCTGACGGATTTGGGCACTTGCTCATTTTCGGCCTCCCGACGGTCCGAGACGGCCCAAGAGCCCCCAAAGATCGCCCCAAGATCGCCCCAAGAGGCCTCCAAGATGGCCCCAGAACGGCCCAAGAGGCCCCCAAGACAGCGCCAAGAGGGCCCCAAGACTGCACAGGAGGCCTCCAAGACGCCCAAGATAGCCTCCAAGACGGCCCTGGAGCACCCCAAGGGTGCTCCAAGTCCGCCCAGAGAGGCTCGTAAGACTGCTTCCGACAGCGTCAGACGGGCCAGGAACGCTCTAAGACGGGCACAGAGGCCCCCGAGAAGCCCCCAAAGGCCCCCGAGAGGCCCAAGGAGACCCCCAAGATATCTCCCAGAGGCTCCTAGGAAGCTTTCAGAAGGCCCCAACAGTGCCCTCAGAGGCTCCCAAGATGCCCCCTCCTCCTTCTCCTCCTCCTCCTTCTCCGGATACTCTGCCATCCTCCCTCAAGTGTCCCCCGAAGAGTCTCCACACCGGCTGGGGGAACACATGGTCCGATAGCTTGGCAGACTCGGCCACATGGGCGATTCTGACAGGCATGGGGCGGTGGGGCGGCGGTGATTCGCCACGGGCGTCTGACAACAGCTTCACTGCCCACGAATGGTGCCGCCAAGTCAACGAAACGCGAACCTCACAAAGACTGCCGTGGCGTGCCGCCCGCACGTGCCGACAAGAGAGCGCCCCAGCGCCCAACCTGTGCCGAGCCGCGCCGCGCCCTGCCCCGCCGGCGACCCGTGGCATGACGCCGAGACGTGCACTCTCTGCCGTGCCACGCTTTCCCGTGCTGTGCCGGGAGGCTTTGCACCGAAACTCGTACATAGAGGAAAGAGAACCATGCACATACACCGATTCTGGCCAGGCCCATCCTGAGCCCAGGATCGGTGCATACGCCCTCCTACCTTGGCCAGGAAGGCATATGCACCGATCCTGGGTCAAGGATGGACGTTGTCAGGATCGGTGCATGTGCATAGTTCTCTTCGCCCGAGTAAATCGGTGCCGCCATGTGCCGCGGGGGGCGTGCCGCCCGCTGTGCTGTGCCGTGGTGGGCCCGGCGACTACTGGGGCGCCGAGGCGTACAACCTGCGGCGCTGTGCCGTGCCGTGCCGTGCCACGACGTGCCGTGGCATGCCAACAGACGGCGCCATGCGTGTCGCCTGCCATGCCACGCTCGGCCGCAACGGGGCGGCAATCTGTGACACGGGGGCGCAGGGTGCCACGCAAGTGGCGCTCCCCCCTCCTGGCGCGGAGTGCCACCCTCCGCACGGGCCATGTAGGTGAAGCCCGGCTGCGTGTAGCACGACTCCCGCGCGGGCCGGATGCGCATGGTGTTGGAGCTGTGGTCCTGCCGCCAGGAGTCAGACTCTCCGGAGACTTCTGCCAGCGCACACTGAAGGGCGGGGTCTTGCGCACCACGAGGCTGGATCGAGACCTCGTGGGCTCCACGGGCAGCACAGGCACGCTGGGAGACCCCCCGTGCCGATCTCTTGTCGGAGGCACAGGAACAAGTTGCAGGCATCCATGGCGACGGGTGCGACAATAGATCACTTTTGGGCTCCCCCCTTCAAAACGTGGTGCGTGGAGTGCATGCTGCAGGATATTCCAGCAGCCAGGGCATCGAGGGAGGGTGCCGAGGCCGAAAAGAAATATGCAACTTATCATTGAAAACCGCTTGGGCCAAGCCAATAGTATGTGATGGGTCTTGGGCGGAATTGAGATTTGCGCGCCCTCACTGCGCCACGAGTGGCTTGTACAGATCACCTGCGCACTGTGTCCGAACGCTAAGAGTCCACGGAGAACGGGGATGGATGTTTATGCAACTACTGCGCGCGAGCACGACATTGAATTACCATGGCGCATTCGTGCTTGCGTACAGATGCCCGCCAGAACGGTACGTACCGGGCGACACAGTGCAGTAAACAGCGCACTTCAGGTACGTGGAGGCGAGGCAATCGCACCATCACACAACTGTCCTCTGGAGGGGCGTCGCGCTGTCGCGAGTGACAAATGCTGCTGGCAGCCCCTCTTCGTTTTGCCCATCTCTCCCTTCTCTCACTTCCCACCTTGCCAGATTCGCTCAGGCGCAGATGTTCCCCGTGCAAGCTTCACACCCCTGTGCGCAGACACTCAACCGGGTGAGCTGCACGCGACCACATCAGCTGAGTTGAAACGTCACAGAATTGTGGGCGTCAGTGGAAACAACACTGCTCCGCGAGTAACAGCAAGGGATACATGGGTTCTGTGATGTTCAAGGTGAGCTGCTGAGCAATTCAAGGTCCTCTCGATGGCAGAGTTCTTGAAAAACGCGAACTCAGACCGCGCACTGTGAAAAACAGCTCGGCCACAGACAAGCAAGCACCGACTACAACCATATGCAGTTAGCCATGCTTCCAAACAGTTGTGCGCATACCTACTGCCATGTGCAACCCGAACAAATCACGAAATCTGTAAGGCGTCGTAGACCTCACGCTCAAATAATGCGATATCCATAAAAACTGGTGCAATCTACACACACGGATAACGGCTACCGCCATGGTCGTCCAAGCTTCCAAATAGTAAGTAGTCATATGCGCAACCACTGTCATGTGCAATCGGCACTCACTCACGCGCTGCCTTCGCACAATGCACACCTGCAACCGAGGGATTGGCAGACCGGAACTCAACTTCTTCTGTCAGCCGCCGCCCCCTTCCCCCCACGGATAGCCATACAAGGTACAGTCGGCCTGTATCAGAAGAATGCGCCATAAGGATGCAAGGGCCTTGGAGGCCCACTTCGAATCTTTTCGAGCGGGGCGCGGCCAGCGAAAGTGGCCAAGGATGGACCGAGGAGGAGGTGAGGGAGGAGGAGAACGAGGATCGGGGGCGAGGAAGGAGTAGGAAGGAGAAGGGAGATGAAGGGAGGAGGAGGAAGGTCACGATGGAGTTGGGAGGGGAGGGAAGAGGTGGAGGAGGAGGAGGAGGCAAGGATGCAAGGGTACCCTTGGGAAGGTTGCTCGTCCTTTCTATGCGGGTTGACTGTAATCCGCATGCCCGCAGTACGAGCCTCCGAGCATGGGCGCGTGGCAATGGCTGCACGTCGCCACGTACAGCCTCGAGCCTTGCTCCGTGGAAGCCCTCCGAGGGCCAGCAGCTGGGCACCTCCAAGCCAGAGCTCCGTCTGCTGACGGGGGCGGCGGCGCTTCAAAGGCGGCACGCTCTGGAGCGCATGTGGCCTTCGCCAGGTCATGCCGCGCCCAGGGCGGGGTGCCCTACCTGCGGCACTTCGTGCCGTGACGACTTCGGCGTTGTTTTCTGACCCCGCGTGGATCGCTCAGCCTTGAACGATCGGCGTCTCTTCGATCGCCGGATCGTTCCATGTTGGCCAGGCCACTGGCGGCATTAAAACCTTCTAGGCCGGCGGCGGGGTCGCCGCCACGTTGGCACGACAAAAACCTACCGTACGTACCATACGTTCAACCCTGACCCCGCAGCTTCTGCGCACTGGCAGCCCGCACCGTGGCCTGCCGCCAAACGGCAGACGAATCATGAGGGGGGGCTGCGGCATTGGTGGTCCCGACTGCGCCGCTTTTTGAGTGCCCCCACGCTGTTCTTGATTTGAGCCACGGTCGAGGCCGCGTCCCTCCATGCTGATGGTTCCCCCCGCCCCCTGTGTGGTGAGGTGGTGGGGGTGGGCGCGCGCGCGTGCATGTGCGCACGTTCCAGCGTGCGTGCGCGTGCGCACGTGTGCACGTGTGTGTGTGTGTGTGTGTGTGTGTGTATGTGTGTGTGTGTGTGTGTCGGTGGCCATGCAACCGGACCTGCAAGGCCCCAACGAATAGAGCAGAGCAGGCCGCCGCGTCGCCGGAGGCAGGCGCCTTGCTGCGGCCGCGCCGGCGCGGGGGGTCCTTGAAGACCCCCATGGTCAGGTTGGGCGTGGACGCGATCTGCCACACGTACTTGGCGCTCGCGTCCAGGCGGCGGCCCGTGGAGCTGGCGACGGGCAGGCCAGCATCATCGCGGAGGACAAGGCACGGCAAGATGGGCCGAGCCCGGCACGCCGTCAACTGCGCTACACGTGCTCCTTGCTGAGCGGTGTGCTGGCAACAACAGTACACCTGCTGCTACGTGCTGCACGGCATGCTACACATGCCACTTACTGCGCAGTATACTGGCATCAACAATATACACATGCTGCTTATTGCGCAGGATACAGGCATCATCCGTAGACTTGCATGCTGTACATGCTACTTGCTGCGCAATATACTTGCTGCTACTTCTTGGCCCATCGAGGCAAGCGCCCCTTCCCTTCTCTCGCAAATGCGCACGCGCCAACAAGCGCTCTGACACCGCAAGCGCCCAACTCCCGTGCTCCTGCTGCGGACAGGGTCCCACGAGACCCATGCAGGAGCGATACAACAGGCCCAAGCATCGCTCCAGGTACGTCTGGCTTGCCACCGTGGAGTGCCCAAGATGGCCTCCAGATGGACCTCCCCCCTCCAAGCGCCCAACGAACGGAACCCTGGTGCAGAAAACCAAGACAGACGCAAGGATGAAGCACACACACGCGACGTCGGAGGTCGGTGGAAGTGGCACGGGAGCCACTGGCAGCCGCGGGAGAGAGAGAGAGAGAGAGAGAGAGAGCGAGAGCGAGAGAGAGAGAGAGAGAGAGAGAGAGAGAAGGAGAGAAAGGCTTTGCAGTCGACTCGGCCTGGCCTCGAGTGGTGATGGCCGCTGTGGTGCGAGGTCAGCTTGGTCGTATCCTGCTCCTCGTCACCGCCGAGGACCTCGAAGGGCGGAGGCGGGGTACACGCCGTCTCTGCCGCTGCCTCCTCAGCGGTTCGTTGACCCGAACGAGCTATCAGAAGGGATCGCCACCTGTGGCTCAGGCCTGCGGATGACGTCGCACACCGCGCACGGCCGTCACCCACAAGCGCAACCACACAAGAGCTCCGCAGCGGCATGGAGCAGAGGAACAGCAGCATACAGTCGGCCTCGATTGGACAGGACACGCTTGAGGACACAAGACCCTTCCGAGGGCCACATCGCCATAGGAGTGTAAGAAGGCACGTGTCGCGAGGCACAGGACACAAGGGTACCCTTGAGCTGGCAGGGTCGACCTACTAATCCGGACCGACTGTACACATTCTCTCTTCGGCGGGCCGCACGGACATCCTGGATCGGCGCTGGACCCTCCGTGGCGCGCAGGGCGCGCAGGAGGCGGCCCCAGAGGCGCTGCCGGGGGGGCCCAGCGCAGGCCCGAGAACTCCGCGCGGAGCTCCGACAGCTCCTGCGTGGGCAACTTCTTCTCCCTCGAGCAAGCCCAGCACCCACAAGCACAACCACGCAAAGGCTCCGCAGAGGCATGGACAGCCCGCCCCCCCCCCCCCCCCCCCCACCCCCCTCGACCCCCCTCCCCTCCCCCCGCCTCCTCGATCCTCCTCTCCTCCCCCCTGCTCGTCCCGCCTTCGCACCTGCTCCTCCTCGATCCTTCTCCTCTTCTCGCTCCTCCTTTCCCTCCTCCTCTCCTCGATCCTCCTCCTCCCCCCTCCTCCTCCTCTTCCTCATCCTCCTCCTCCTCCTCCTCCCCCTCCTCCTCCTCCTCCTCCTCCTCCTCCCCCTCCCCCTCCTCCTCCCCCTCCTCCTCAACCATCTGCCCCCCCCCCCCCCCCACACCCTCTTCCCCCCCCCCCGACGACCACCTCCCTCCCCCCCAAGGGAGGAGGCGGGGCGAGCGCAGGCACTGAGGCGGCACAAGGGCGAAGCCATCTGCCCCCCCCCCCCCCCCCCCCCCCACACCCTCTTCCCCCCCCCCGACGACCACCTCCCTCCCCCCCCAAGGGAGGAGGCGGGGCGAGCGCAGGCACTGAGGCGGCACAAGGGCGAAGCTCCACCCGGGAGCCACGGGCCACTGGGGGGTGAGGGGACGGGGGGCGCAACGTGACGGCCGCGCGCCGCCGACCGCGAGCTTTCGCTTGGCGTGTCGCAGCGACGGCCTCGGCCACAGGCTGCGCCTTGCAGGCGGATGGCGTGCTGCTCCACTCCGCGCGGCGGGAGGCCGGGCAAAGCTCGGGACGTTGACGCGAGCCCGCGGCGCGACACGCTACGCACAACTCCCGACCGTATACAGAGAGAGAGAGAGAGACTTTCAGGGAGGGCACGCAGCGACGGACTTAGGGCGACCGCACATGATTGGGCGCCCGAGTTATCCGGGGTAACTCGGGTCCGGGGTAAGTCGGGTTTGGATTCCCGAAAAAGGAACCCGAGTTATCCCTGACCCGAGTTACCCCTGATGATTCGGGGCTCTGGACGCCCGAGATATCCGGGGTAACTCGGGTTTGGATTCCCGAAAAACGAACCCGAGTTATCCCTGACCCGAGTTGCCCCTGATGATTCGGGGCTCTGACATGATGCGCTCGAGAGCACAGCAATCCCCCCGCCTTGCGCGCCGGCATCCCCGCCGGCAGCAACCGCGACAGGAACGCGCGCGATCGGGAAGGGCGCTGCCCGCCTGGGACACCTTGACGCTCGACTCCACCACGTCGGACCTCGGCAATCCGGCCCCCTCAGGCACTCGCTCCCCAATCTCCTCCTCCTCCTCCTCTTCTTCCTACTCCTCCTCCTCCTCATAACTCGGAAGACGAACACGTGTAACATGTCCAAGACTGAACACAGAAAAAAATTGTCAATCCTGGCCATCGTCCATCTTGATGTTTGTCAATTCGTGGATCATCCTCGCGAATTGGCGACGGCTGGCATGGACAAGATCCTGCGACACCATTGGAGGAACAATAAGCGGCATAACCATCATCTTTCGGAGGTCGGCGCGGATTTCTTGGAGCAGCGCTGGCCCCCCTTCCTGGCGCGCGGAGCGCGCAAGGGGCGGCTCCGGAGGCGCCGCTGGGGGGACCAACGCCGATACAAGACATCCGCGCGAAACTCGGACACGACAAATTTATGCACTTTTTTAAAATCATATTATAAATATGTAGTTATACGAATATATTTGCTGGATTCTCCTCGTCACTCAATGCCATCTATTCCCCGAACAGTGCTTGCACTTAGGGTTTCTCACTTGCCTTCTGCAGAACCGGGCTCCGCTGGCGGTCCAGCCGGCGTGTCGACGCCCGCCGCCGCTGTCCGCTCGGGCCTGGCTGGCGGTCTGAACCGGCTTGTCGCCGCCCGTCGCCGCCGCCTGACTGCATTGCTTTGCGTGGCGTTGCATTGCTTTGTATTGGTTTGCATTGCTTGGCATTGCGCTGCATTGCTCTGCGTTACCTTGTGCCACATGGATTGCACCACCCACATTTCTGTTTTCAAGCGCGCGCGCAATGTAGTTGCTATGGGCGGCCATTAAACTCCAACTGCAAAAACGCACTCAAATGTATAGAACTCTGCGCCGGCAGCTTGAGCTGAACTGCAGCAGCGCGAACCTCCATTAACCAAGGGTGCAACATTGATTGCACCTCCTTGACTGCACCGCAAAAAAGTGCCAGACATCAATGTTCGGGGCCCACTTTGGCCAACATATTCATAGCACATCCACACTTCGTTGTGCTTGTGCCGCTATCTTTTTCCGACCTGCGTTCTCTCTGAAATCTTGGCCACGGCTATCGTTAGGTCGGGCATGCCCTCCGACAGGCGGATTCTGGAGGGAAGAATCACAAGTAATCACAACATACTCACGAATAGTGACATCAACAGCAGCATCATCATCATCAACATAAGCAGTAGCAGTAGCATCATCATCGACGTCACAATCATGTTTCTCGCCGTCCTCCTCATCCTCCTCCTCCTCCTCCTTACTCCTCCTCCACTCCTCTTCCTTGTGGATAACTCCTCTCTGTCTCGCCCCGAAGCTGGTCGAAAGGGCGGGCCGGGCGTTTCGCTTGATATTTCCTCACGAATGATCAAACAATCGTCCCCAGACTCTTCCTCCCGTCGAGGGAAGTGCCCGACTCGAGGCCGTCGTGCTTCTTCCCTCAACGGCCGGCCGCGCGCCCTCGCCGGGCGCGCGCGGCGCCGGGCGCTCGCCGAGAGCCCACCGAACGAGCCTCCTCCGAGGTGGGCGGCAGCACGGCGGGGCAGACGACGACGAGGACGGCGACGACGACAACGGCGGCGACGGCGACGACGGATCGCGACATCGGATCGAATCGAAGTGCGCGTCTTCTCGGGCCGCACCGGCACGGCGTCGGAATCGGGCTGGAGCGGCCGCGCCAGGATGCACAGCAGCGCCACGCGAACACTGGGCCGCATCGCATCGCCACAATATCAGAATCGCTTCGATTTGGACTGGCCGAGGAGGACGAGGAGAACGAGGTCGACGACGACGACGACGACGACGTCGACGTCGACGACGACGACGTCGACGACGACGAAGGGGACGACGACGGCGACGGCACCTTGGGCGGCAGCTAGGCGGGGCAGAGGGCGACCGCTGGCCGCGGGAGCAGGGCGCAGCATCTGGTCCCACCGACGGTGGTGCCATGCTGGCTCCACCCCCCCTCCTCCGCTTTGCGGTGCTCTTCTACGCCATGCCATGCCGTGCTCTACAATGCATCGCGTACCCTTTCGGGATCATTGCCCTGCTCGCCATCCGACTGTGCGAGTAGAGAGGGGGTCTGCGCCATGGTAAGGGGTGGGAGGGAGGGGTAGGATGTCAGATAGGACGCGAGCGCACCTAGCTTCTCCTCCCCCCCCTCCTCCCCCTATCCTCCTCCTCCTCCTCCTCCTCCTCCTCCTCCTCCTCCTCCTCCTCCCCCTCCTCCCCCTCCTCCCCCTCTCCCCCCTCCTCCTCTTCGTTTTCCACGACGTCGGCTCCTGGGCCCGGGCAGCAGCCCTGGCCGCGCACGGCCGCGCCGAGGCGGCGGCGGCCCAGGGCCCCACGGGCCGAGACGCTGGGCGCCTCCGCCTCCTCCTCCTGCTCCTCCTCCTCCTCCTCCTGGCGCCCGTCGGCGATGGTGCTATGCTGCTATGCTGGCTCCTGCTCCTCTCATCCTCCTCCCCGCAGGTGTTCGAGGTTCTCGTCGTCACGAGGTCGCTCGGCTGTGGGAATGGTGGTGGAGGGCCGACGCGTGGGCTGACTCCTGGCTTTGGGAGTGGTGCCACATCTTCTTCCGCCGACCACGGCGCAGGGTCGGCGGATGGGCCAGGTCTCGGCTCTGGGCTGCGCCCCCATTCTTCCGTCGTAAGTCTGATGTCACCAGATGGGCCGAGTGACGGACGCGAGATTCAAAGGGGTTTGCAGTCGCCAGCAATTTTATCATCCGTGGTCGAATCCCCCAGCGGTGGGCCGTAACCAGTGAGCTGGCCCAAGATTGGTCATCGGTACTCTCCTATTGTGGCTTTCTAACGGCATTTCTATACTGTGCGATGTCGATGGCGCCCGATCACCCACCACCCGTGACGCCTCCGCCCGATGATGTCGAGTGACGCCTGCTCGAGACTGTGGCCGAGGAGGATGCGCAGCTGGTGGCGGCGTCGTAAAAACGTGGATCCGCATGGGATGCTGCCGTCCTCCCCCGACTCCCCCCCCTAGGGCGGTCGGTCGCCCCTTGGGCTCCCCCTCCCCCTCCCCCTCCTCCTCCTCCTCCTCCTCCTCTTCCTCCTCCTTCCTCTTCAGGACGCAACAATTACGTTGATTCGCGGGGTTGAAGTCCCACGAACAATGTTCTGATACGATGGAGGATTCTCAGACGGCTGTTTTCCAATGGGGCACATCCCGCAATGAACACACACACACATATATATATATATATATATATATATATTGCCTCCTCCCTCCTCCTCCTCCTCCTCCTCCTCCAGCCCTCGCCATCTCTCCTCCTCCTCCTCCTCCTCCTTCTCCTCCTCCTCCTCCCCCTCCCCCTCCCCTTCCTCCTTGTCGAGGCCTTGCCCTCTCCTCCTCCTCCTCCCCGTTCCCGTCCCCGTCCCCCTCCTCTTCCTCTTCTCCTCTTCTTCTCTTCTTCTCCTCCTCCTCCTCCTCCTCCTCCTCCTCCTCCTCCTCCTCCTCCCCGTCCCCGTCCCCGTCCCCCCTCCTCTTCCTCTTCTTCATCCTCCTCCTCCTCCTCTTCGCGTGCCCACAGACGAGCCCAGATCCCAAGCAGGCGGCCAGGGAGCAGCCGCGAGAGAGGCAGAGCAGCGCGAGCGCCGCAGAGGGAGAGAGAGACGGGGTGGAGAGCGACAGGAGGGAACGCCAAGTGCTGGACGTTGCTTTATGGGGGAGGCGATAACGTTAAGTCGGGCATATCCCTACACAGGAGGAACCTTCAAGAATAGTCGACAAATAGTATGGGAACTGTTTTTCAATGATTTCTGGCCTATTTTTTGATTTCTTTGACTATTTACTATTGTTCGTCCAAAATCCGCCTGTAGGAGGACATGCCCGACCTAACGATAACGAGAAGGGGAAGGAGACACGTGCACCTGTCGTGCCCCTTGAGTACCCCAGGGGGCCCCTTCAGAGCCCCCCCGTCGATTTCCCCCCCCATTCCTTTCTTCGCCCCCCTGTTGATCGCCCCCCCCATTCCTCAGCGCCCGACATGGCAAATGTCGAGTCCGCCCGGGCAGCGACCCCGTCGGAAAGGCCGTCCGGGCTGCGCACAAACAGCCCCCCCAGGTAGTCCCGGCTGGCCCCAACAGGCCCAGAGGAGGAGGAGGAGGAGGAGGAGGAGGAGGAGGAGGAGGAGGAGGAGGAGGGGGAGGAGGAGGAGGAGGAGGAGGAGGAGGAGGAGGAGGAGGAGGAGGAGGAGGAGGAGGATGAGGAGGAGAAGGACGAGGAGGAGGACAAGGAGGAGGATTTTTGCACTCCACCACGTTGACGCACACACGCCAGAGGTTCAGACCCAGCAGCAGCAGATGGGCGGGCGAAAACGCACACTGCTCAGGCCGACTCTCCCCCTGGCCGCGCGGCTGACACACCACTCCACCAGGCACAGCCAACAGGGCAGGCCCGAAACAAACTGACGGCAAGCAGCTCGACCCAGGGACGGCCGGAGCCAAAACATGCTTACCAACACCCGGTGGAAGCCCGAATCGATTTCCCACCCGACCCCTGCGGCCCGACTAAACGGGAGCTCGCGGTATGCGGGATCGGGGGATGCCATCGCAAAAGGAGCCTCAGCACCTGGGCTGTCAGACAATGAAGGACGATTAATCGTAGTCGGAGAGATCCAGCGAGAAAGGTTGGGAAGACTGGGCGTCCAACCCATGCCAGAAAGCCACGCTGTCGCCCTTTGGCGCAACATGGTGTGCAGAGCTGGAGGAGGCCTGAAGCCTTGCTGCTTCCTCCTTCACCTGCATGCAGTGCGGGGAACGTCCTTCGGGCCAACTTCAGCGGAAATCGCTGGCTGGCCCGCAGGGCCGTCATCCTCCCCAAGACCAAGATCAAGTCGAGCCCCCTCAACAAGCTCGGCGCCCGTCTTGGGGCGCCGACCAAGACAACTATGCCTCAACGTGTGGCGGCGGCCGTGGTCCCGGTTGGCTTTGGTGGGTCGGCCGACACACCGCCTGGCCCAGCCGTGCAGCTGGCCGCCGCTATATAGTA